GGGAAGAGCAACTGAAGCAGTGGAGCTTACTTGGGATGTGAGAAATTTAAGTAAAGAAAGCCAGCACTGTTATTTGCGCACATTATCATTCATTATTCTTTACTTCTTCTGGCACCAATAAAGTACAGATTTCAAGCAGAAGAATTGGAGAAGAAGTAACCATTTGGGATCTGTGCCTTCTGAATTGAAATGTAAACAATGGGACAAATAAAAAAATTATTCAAAAAAATTTTAAAATAGAATTTGTAAGATTTTATTTAGCAGAAATGTCCACGTCCAGATTACAGATGCACTCAGAATGTAAAGAGGTTGAAAGTAGGAGTGTGAAAAAGTCGAATCGTGTTCGGCTCATTTATATTTCAAGCTCAAAAGGTTTGTTTGTGTTCGGCTTATTCGTTTAGCGAGCAGAACACGAGTTGTTCTCAAAAAGAGTCATTTTGACAGCCCTAATCATGTAGCCATAAGATGTTAAGCGTTGGGGCAAGATTTAAAAAAAAATTATTATTTATAATAAAACATTTATAATAAAACATCATTTGAATCTAATTTAATATTTTTTATTCTATTTTCTTAATTAATACTTTTAATTTACTTTAATTCTTTGTAGCCTTGTAGTCAATTGAATTTTTTAAAAATACTACTCATCAAAATATATGTATATATATGTAATTGATGAGTAGTATTTCGAGCCAAAACGATTCGAGCACGAGCTTCTTAATAAGTCAAACACGAGTTGTTCGCGAAGAATGAGCCGTTTTGACAGCCCTATTTATAAGAGGACTACATGAGCAATTAGAGGGTTTTATTATATATATAGCAGGTAGTTTGAAATTTATATATATATATAGCAGGTAGTCTGCTGCAATGCACTACATGTATCATCATCGCATTGCTCTGAAGATCATTTCCAGCTCCATATGTTGGATCATAGCTTAGCTAATATCTAGAAAGAATATTTACATACATGCCACCAAATTCTTATATATTTATATACCTAACACTAAAATTTTAAGTTTTTAATATATGTGACCTTACCTATGCATAAGAAGTTCAAATATTGGTCCTTTTGATGTGATATGAAAGATTCAGGTGGTATAAATGTTAAAAAACAAAGTTTAGGTGTTAAATAGGTAAATATATAGGAATTAGGTGGTATGTATGTAAATTTCCCAATCTTTAATGCAATAAACAACTGAGTTTTTGCCATTTTGCAGCCCAATATTCTAATGGTATGGATTCACTTCCGCAGATCTGGTCATTTACAATGACAAGAATAACCTTGCCAATGGCGAAGACAACAGAGATGGACAGAACCATAACTGAAGCTGGTAGTGTGGAGAGGTAATAACTAATTGACAATCAATTAATTTGTCAAAAAGTTAGCATGAACAGAATCAATTAATTGTGAATTATTATTTTTCAGTTTTTTTTTTCCCAAAAAGTTGTGGTATTTCCGATTTGCTGCAGGGATTGATCTTGAGAGTGCTGTTGTCATGTTGCTTCGTCCAAAATGACATTATTGAAAAGTTCGTGGGATTTCTAAAGACCACTCCTGAGTAGGGGTGTAAACGAACCGAACACGAACTAACAGAGACCACTCCTGAGTAGGGGTGTAAACAAACCGAACACGAACTAACAGAGCTCATTTTTGGTTCGTTTGAAATTAATTGTGTTTGAAATAGGCATTTTTGATTCGTTTGAAATTAATTGTGTTTGAAATAGGCTCGTGTTCGAAATTGTTCGTTAAAGGAGTTGTTCGTGTTCGGTTTGATTTGTTCGAAATAAGTTCGAATTGTTCGAGATGTTTGAATTGTTCGAATTATCTAAATGATTCAAATTGTTTGATTTGTTCGAAATGTTTGAAATATTCGAAAATATTAAGATTTGTTTGCGTATTTGAATTGCTAAAATATTATAATATTTATATTAATATAACTAAGACTAATATATTATTATTGTTATTAATAATGTATTATATATTATAATTTATAAGATTTAATTATTTAAAATATGATAAATCTTTGTAATAAATAATTATTTTTAAAATATCCTAAAATTTTTATATATAACTATTTTAAATTATTTGATATTGCGAACAATAATGAATCGAACACGAACGAACACATCATTGTCCGTGTTTGGTTTGTTTAACAAACCGTAAACAAACCGAACGAAAAAAAATTGTTCATGTCGGTTCGATGTGTTCGTCTTGTTTGCTCATCAAACGAATCGAACACGAACTCCCTCGCGAACCGAACACGAACTGTTCGCAAACAACGAGTTTTTTTGACAGCCCTACTCCTGAGGAGAGAAATCTCTGTTTTGGGGTTGGAGAGCATGGTGGCTAGATAAGGAAGGACGATGAGGAGAGAAATCTCTGTGGATTTATGAGATTTAGAGAAGTTAAAGCATGGGATGGCAGGATAAGGAAGAAAGACGAGGGTTACCTTCCTCGATGATTTTCAGGTTGGAACTAGTGGAAAGAGCAAGATGCTTGCTTCAGCTGTCTATCTATGTCGAGATTATGTTGCTACTGTTGCTGTAGCTTCATGTGACAGTGGTTTTTAAATGTCTACAACGGCGGTTTAAATTGTCATTAGTAGTCAAGGTATGTGACGGTAAAACTGGGCGTTGTAGCATGAAGCCATGACAATAGTCGTAAAACTGCCACCGTAGCTTCGAGCTATGACAACATTTTTTAAAACTGCTGCTTTAAAAATTTGTGGCGTTAAGTATCTGTAGCGGTTTGTAAATCGCAGCTAGAATTTTAGATGCAGTTAAAGTCACTGTTGTAGCTTCTATTTTGTAATGCTAAAGCCTATTTTTCTTGTATTAGATATATAAATACGTTAAAATTGTGTGGCATGCATGTTAATCCCTACATATTTATGATATGTTTTGACTTTGACGTTTCACTTTGTTTTGTCTATAAGTATTTTGAAGTTGGTTTCTTTAAAAATTGAGTGTATATTAAATTATTTTTATTGGGCTATACTGATGATAGATAGTTTTTCATCGAAAGTTTTAAATTTAAAAATTGCTAGTTGAAATTACAAATGTGACATTTTTAAAAACATCTAGTATTTTCCTTCTAAACAATCCTTAAAAAAATAAGAACTCTTTATGCTTTCATTTGATCTTTTAAACTCTCTCTCTCTCTCTCTCAATACACACACATGCGCACACACGCACACACGCACACGCGCACACACAGACACACACATACATATTGAATCCCAGAACATATAACCCGACAAAAGACCTTGTATGGTAAAGAGAGAGAGAGGAGAGAGAGAGAGAGGAGAGGAGAGAGAGAGAAATGGATAAAAATATTTTAGGGAACCTTAGAAAATATATGAATTCTAAATCTTTAGCAAAGTAGAGGAAAGTAGTTCCTCAAAGGCTCCCTTGAGTTATAGGATCTGAAATAGAGATAGGGTCTCACAAAATTGTGTTATGATGTAATTTTTAAAGAAGGATGAAAGAAGGAGGATCCACATAGAGCGAGAAAGGAGGAGGAGGAGGAGGTTCTCTTTTATTTTCCTTCCTCTTTTAAAAAGAGAAGAAGAAATCCATAAGCTAATCAATGTAGTACACTTGCATTGCATAATGTCTCTCTTTGGAATTTTAATGAAAAAAAGCGTGATGCGGATGTCAGTGTATTGTTGGTTGATGTTAGGTACTACCGACGAATTTCAAATATTATCGTATTAGTAGCCACCCCGGTACTTAAGTGAAAAAGATAGAATCTCAAATGTAGGGTGGCTTTTTTAAATAAAGAATTGACGGGTGACTTTAGCGGCCATGATGGCTTCCTCCGATCGTTGTCCTAGCTCACACAGGCTATGTTACTCTTTTAAGTGAAAAGGAGAGTGTGAGGAGTAGTAGGCAAGCTTAGTTTATTCACTTCAATAGGTCAGATCAATTTAGTTGTTTCGATAGATGGGCTCAATTTGGCCACTCAAAAGATGGACTCAATTCGGCCACTTTGACAGGTGGGATCCGTTCTGTTATTTTGACTAGTGGGCTCATTTTATTGAGAAATAATTTTGGCAAAAACTTGTGTATCACCGTATTTGTGTGTATATTTAGTTCAATGATTATCTTATCTCTTCGATTGGATTTTCATGAGAAGAATCGGAGAATGATGATTATGTCATCTCTATGAGACCTTTGAGGCTAGGAAAAGGCTTGTCTTGAGAATGATTTATTTTATCCTCTGAGGTCCATCGGTTTATCCTGTGTTGAATTGGATTTTTCTAGCATCTTATTCTGGGAACATTTTAAGCTTCTCTTACAAGTAGTAGTCCCTATAATGATGTCGATGATAGGAAGCAACTCTTCCTTTTGGTGCATTAGGGTATTAACTATGGTAGTTATCAAACATTAAATAATTGTACTCACTTAGAGGTATTTATATGATCATGTGAGAGGTATTTATATGATCATTTGAGAACAAAAATGGATCTTCGTTCATTTCATCGGACATTTTTTTGCCTTTGAGAGAAAAAACAAAAGTTTTCTAAAAGAGATGAGATTTTTGCTCGTTTGTTGGAGGTGATTCTTTGTCATAGGGAGCTGGACACTCGTTTGCAAATAATTTAAAAATAGAAGAAGAGTCCAAGTGGAGTCTCAAAAGAGAGCAATCTATGAGACCAAATGAGGTTTCTCATGACGTTACTGAGGCAACCATTCTTGGGGAGCTTTGTCAGAAGATAGATCCTCTACAAAACCTGAAATTTTCTTCTTTAGGAAAGAATTAATCAATTTGAATGATCTGGTGGAGGATCATCTTTTTGATATTCCATAAGGGCCGGAGTAGAATCTCGCCATGGCTGCTACTTACCCGGACTTTCTTGGTGAAGATATTTTTACACATATTTCTATTCTTTTTGCTTGCATATTGTACTGGTCTTCTCAGTTGACTAAATTTCAATTTTATAGGAAAATATGAAGGTCAAAATTCTTGTTAAGGTGAGATTCAAGAGGATTAGGTGCACATGAGGGGTATTCCTCCTCGGAATCATGCTATCGATGACAAAATGTTAGATCGAAATGATGATGTTATGCTCATTGAAGGTAATGTAACATAGCTCTACCAATTTGAAACTAATTTGTTGCTTTGAAGTATTGATGGGGTTGGACTTGAAAAAGTTTGGTGTAGAATAGGTAGAGAATGAAGCCTCAACTGAAATGGGTGATTCAGTGATTGATGATGTCTACGTAGTGAGGAAAATTCATCCATTTTTAATGAAAAATTTTAACCTAATTGAGAGTCTAATGACATAACCTATTCACTCGATTGATCTCCATTCTTCCTTAGGAGATAAAAGGATATCAGATGCCCGCTTCGTCGAACTGGATGGTGAACTCGTAGGGGCCAGGTTTGCATTGTTGGACTGGAGGCAAATAATTCATTTATTGACCTGAAGTTATAGGAACAAATGATGGATTTCAAAAGAGAATTTACTTTGATATTAAACAGCTCTTTAAAATTAAAATTCCTGATAACTACGTGACTGGTGATTTGATGGTTCGTCGTTGTCTTCTTTATTTAGCAGTTATTAATATAAAAAATATAATAAATTGTGCTATATTTCTTTTCAACACCTGGTCATGTATTTGGTTGTACAAGTGTGTATTCAATTGATTGTCTAAATTGATTGCATGCCCAATGGTTTTTTGTGAGTATTTTAGGTTGTTACACTTCTGAATAACATCTTACTTTCAGTTGTATATTTATTCTAATTTTCTTTATGTTCAATGATGAACTATTTCTTTTGGAATCTATACCCATTGGATTTCTTGCTGCCTTTATTAGGAAAAGGAATGCACTTTGTCTCATTACTCTAATATACTTTATCTTTGAGATATTTCAATGGTGTATATCTTTAGAAGGAAAGGAGGGTATCCCCCATCGGCAAGGCTTCAAGGAAGTTTTTCAGTCAGAGGTGGATCAAGTGATGCATGCTCAATCGAAGTATGTTTTTGACGATGTCACAAATTTGAGAGAGTCGAGGGATGTGAAACCCCTAATACATTTTACATACATGAGATTTGTGCTATTTATGAATAGTTCCTCTCTAGTTTGTGTTTCTTACCATGTGCTGATTTTATTAATATTTTGAACTTTTTGTGGTTATACTTTCTTGCATAAGTCCTAACTTAATAGTGAACATAATGACAGTAATCATGGATGATTGCATTGGGGGTCATTACTAGTCAACGAACCAATTCATCATGTATTTTAAGTAAATACATACAACGACATACTAGTGGTTTTTTATTGTTGAAAACAGTTGGCTTGGTCAATAAAATGCTAGATATATGGAAAAAAATGCTTTTGTTTTGCTTGCAATCGGAGTAGCTAGAACATTTCGACAAAAATGTAGTGTTCGAATAGGGAGATTCCTAGTGTTTGTTGCTGGTTAAGGAAAAAGAAGGGAACTACAATGCTATGAAGGAAGTAGAGATCCACTTCATCAATTTCATTTCTCTTGTTTTTCTTAATATTATGTCGGAAGCAAGGAAATTTTATGTTAAGGTTGCAAACGTTGTAATCCCTTACTTTTTAATGTGATTCATAAATTTTTTGTTCTAGGTGAGAAGCAAAAAAATATTCCATGCTTTTTCAACTATATGGTACTATTGAGAGCTTAGCGATGCCTAGAAGTATTGTAGGATCACACCATTGATGGAACGTAGAGTCATAGAGGAAAATAATGAGAAATATGTTCCATAGAAGCTCTCTCCCAAGATGGTGGCGTGAGGTGCTTGTTTTGGGACATTGAGGATAGAAGGGCCCTCAAGGGGTCCCCAGATAAGTTAATAAATGCCTTCGAAGAGGAATGGAAAATGAGTTATGGAGAAGAGAAGACAACTTGATCCACCTTATCTGTTGTGCAAATTAGATGAAGTTAGGAGCCTGAACAGGCTCATGAGAGAGTTTTTTAGAGGAAGTCCCATGGGTTATCCCAACAATGGAGGAGCAAATAATGAGAATAAATAAGGATGGGATTCATGCATTGGTCGACCCAACTAAAGGTTGGTGTCTTGATGGAATTATTTTACACTTGGCATTTCAACTAGGTCCAATCATAAGTTCTAAGCATATATGGGAGGTGGCGTGAGAGATTGATTTAGAGGATCACCTTAGCTTGTTGATGGATATCTTGTCATCCTCTTAGCAATGAGCCTACATTGTCAATGACTCTTATCAAGCTCTCACAAGAGAAAAAAGAGAGTTGAAGATTAAAATTAATATTAAAGCAAAATCCTTTGAAGCTCTTTAATTGAAGTTGAAGGTAGTGGAAGAGGAAAAGTTTAGGATTTTGTGTTCTTTAACTAACACACTAATGGAAAGACTATTTTCGAGAGAGAGATTCAGACGTTGAACTTAGATAAGGTTAGGCTTGAAAGGGAGTTATTCGACAAGAGAGCAATCTAAATACTTTCCAAAAAAGCTACTGCAAAAATCCATGGGGTTGATTTAGAAAAAATGAGAGAAGGTGGTTTAAACGGAGCTCGATCGAGAGAGCATGAGGACACATGATTTCAAAAAAGAGGTGGAATAGCTTTGCAACCAAGACTTTGATGGAGAGAGGAAGATGACAAATATGGAGAAGTAAATTGTGTCCAAGTATAATTCCTTCAAAGCCTTCAAAGAGATTATTGTTGATAATTTCAATCAAGTGATGAAGTCCATTTTTGACATCCTAGTGCATGGAGGGGCTCTAATTCTAGAATAGAAAAATTTCTGCCATTTTCTTAGCTTCTTGTAAGTTTCAAAAACATATCAAATAAAGGATTCTCCTAATCACATTGGGCTGTCTAGTTTGTTTAACATCTTTTTCTACTCTGATGGTTATTTTTTCTTTTGTACGAGTATTTTTTCAAATGGATTCTGCTCAATGGCAAATTATTGATTTTTATATTAGCCTTGTAAAATATTTTTAATTTTTTATGGCTTCAATGGGGTATGTGCCTTGCCTGAATAGGGTTATGTTATTTTGATGTGATGGGCTCCTATGTACTTTTTTAAATTTTGAATTTAAAGTTTTGTTTTTTAGGAAAGAAGCTTAATACAATAATGCCTATGTCATCTGTAATAAATACGTATGTGATAGCTACTCTTATATATTTTACTTTGAGAATGTGTTTCATTCTTGCCAACCCCTCTTTCTTCTTAAGTTTATGTCTTTGTTCCTCTTTTGTGGTCATAGATTCTGAGAGTATGTCTTTATTGTAGTGCTCCAATGAAGGAAATCAAGAGTTCATTTCTTTCTTAAAATATCAGATTTAGCTCGGAGTTAAAAACTGTCATCCTCAAGAGTCTATTGAAGAATAGATATTTTGAACAGTTAATTAAACGTAGGGTAGCAAGGGAACATGGATCACCTAACACTTATGTGGAAAACAAAATATGTTATTAATATGAACAATTCAAATTGGGTTTTCATTTTATGTTATAGAAGAAGTTAGAAAAAACTGTGAGCATCAATGGAATAGTAATGGTGCAGAGTCACCCTATCCATATATTGGTGTTGATATAATTTATATTGTTTCCATCCAGGAAAAATTTATATTGGTTGATGGACCTATTCCAATTCAAAATAAGACCAAATATATATTCTAATGGAAGAGTTATTTTCATCTCTTCTTTGATATCATTCGATGGTTTCGAACATAAGATCTACTCGTGGTGGACAAAATTTTGTTTTTCAAAAAAGGGAGTGTTGAAGGTGCCCACAACCTCTGGTTCTCTAACATCTAATGTGGCTCTAAATGGGTCAAGATTTTTTTAACTAGAAGAAATCAACTTTTGAAGCATAAAGGATAAGAGGTTTGATGTGAGGAGCTGTACATCATATAAATTTCTGAGGCATGCTCTTCACAGTAAGTTTTCTATCCCATTTTATTGAATTTTCTATTGCTTGTTTAAATTTATAATTGAATATCTATAAATCAAGGACTCAACATTCATTAGAAAAGAGTCAAACCTCCTTATGGAAAGGGTAGAGGACGTGAAGGCTTAGTTGGAAGACCTTCATTAAGGAGAACTGTGGACACTTGGTCAGGCAAGCAAATAAGGGGCTATCATTGTATTAGGCAATGTCAATGTGGAGAACGCTGATTCTCCTTTAATCACTCATCTTAGTGTCAAGCGAATAAAGATAGAAGCCTCCATTTTGGAGGGGGCCATCACGATGCCAACTCCCTAAGTTTAGGTTTAAGAGGAGCCTCAAGTGAAAGATAAAAGCATGTGGCCTATAAGTTAAATAATAATAATTAACCCATCATTCACAGAACTTCAACTGAAGCAATAGAGAACAAAATCAATGTGATGATCATCCCTATCTACTTATTCCACATCTTCATCAAGATTATTTGTTTGGGAGGATTTGGATTTAAAAAGATGGATATTTCAAATGAATAAGGGTAAGACAAAGACCATCGTGGACTTGTCTAAGATATGGATGTCTGATGAGTCTTTTTTCAAATAAAACACTTTTAATGGGATAATTGATAGGTCTCCTACTCTAATACCCTAGTAAAGGCTCAACAAGGGCAAATCCAATTACTAATATGAAAAGTATGGCAAACGCATGATAGTGGATATATTCACTATGCCAATTGTATCGCCAATTCTAGCTTGATCTCTTAATGCCGACCGTAGACTGTGGGGAGGAAGATAGGAAATAAACACTATCTAAATTGAAAAAAAAAAGACTTTGACAGTAGAGAAAAAGAAAATGGAATTAAGGCTCATAGAGCTAGAATGCAACAATTTGTGTTTAGCCCAGCAGTGATTGAATGATGCCTTCAAATTTTAGGCATATAAGGCATAAAAGTCTCAAAATGAAGGTGTTGTCGGTTGATTTTTCATGAAAATAATTTTTTATTTAATTTAATAATGTATATATAATTTTGATTTTAAAATGACATTTTAATTTTGAAATGTGAGACCAAGTAGTTCTCATATATTTAATTGTTTAAATAGTTGAATACAATACCACAAGTAATACACCACTTCGCGAGTTAGGCAGATCACTTGTTGGTAGGCTCAATCATTTAAACTAAAAAATTCATGACATTCGTTAAGTCTTCAAACTTTTGTGACCGATAGTTCCCCTATCTAATATAAAGACTATACAAAGTTTAGATTCTCTTGGTTCCTAATTTCCTATAGCGGCAAACCCCTATAGATAATTACATCTTAGGCAGTCGAAGTCACTTAAGAAAACTCTCGATTAAGATCAAGAGTTTCGTCCAAGAATACAAAGTTTAGTATACGTGATATTTAGAAAGAAATTCAAGAAGAAAGGGCGAAAAAAGTCAAGTGGGAAGGGCGCAAAAATGAACAGTTATTTAAGAGATCGAAGGAGAAAAAGTAGGGCATCCCAAATTATCTTTTTGCTTTGTTTTATATTTTGGAAATGATTTTTATTTGATGTCTACTCCTATCAATTAAATAAAATTAGGGCTTATATTTGCACAATATATGATCCATGCAAATAGCCTAGGAAAATTGTTGACCTCACTTTTGGTTGAGGTCTAGAAAACTTTTTTTAGTAGCCTAGGTCTAGCCATATAACTTTTCTATTGACTAGTCTTAGAAAATTAGAAGAGGTACCCCACCATTAGAAATTCAAAACTCTTCTTTTTACTCAACTTGAAATTCCACATATTGATCTTAACCTCTAGCATTTAGTAGGTAAGATCATTATAAGAGAATTCAAGAAGAGTCCCTATAGGATTACTTGGCTTTAGGGTCGACCCAGGGTGTTGACTTGGAACTAGGATACACCATACCTTCACAATGCATTAATCCATGGTTCATTTAGAATGGATAT